AACTCGATTGCCCACTTTGCCATGCGCTCGGACTGCGTTGGGCTGTGTAAAATTGACCGAAGAGGATGACTGGTTAGGACGGCTATGGAATGCGACTGGAAGTAAGGACGTAACTTTCTCGAGGCGACAACGACTGCAAGAGCAATCTTCTCCAAGGTTGGATAGCGAGTTTTGGTGTCGTCCAAAGTTTTGCTGAAGTAGAAAATTGGCTTCTGCTCTCCACGATCTTCTCGAACTAGAACGCCACTGACTACTGCACTGGAGGCCGCTATGTAGAGGAGTAAGGTGTCGCCGTGCTCCGGTTTAGCCAGAATCAGAGGTATTGAGAAATAGGTATTAAGTTGCAGGAACACTTCTTCACACTTCTCGTCCCACTCGAACTGCTTGTTACCTCGAAGAAGCTGATAAAAAGGCAGGCACTTGTTTGTAGATCATGATATGCAACGATTCAGAGCGGCTATCCTCCCTGTTAGGCGCTGAACTTCGCGAGTGATTCTTGGTGAGTGTAACTCCAGGATCGCGGAGATTTGTATGGGTTTAGCTTCAATCCCGTGTTGCGTGACTAAGTCGCCAAGGAATTCACCCGACGTGACTACAAAGGTGCATTTTGCAGGATTGAGCTTCATGCTGTATTCGTTGAGTATCAGAAAACATTCGCGGAGGTGAACAATGTGGTTGGCTGCTTTAGCTGATTTGACGAACATATCGTCTATGTATACTTATATCATCTTTCCAAGCTGATCGGCGAACATTTTGTTGACGAGGCGTTGATAGGTGGCTCCCGCGTTTTTCAGGCCGGACGGCATGACCTTGTACCAATAGGTTTCTCGATCCGTGATGAATGCGGTCTTTTCACTGTCGTCTAGATTCATGAGAATCTGGTTGTATCCTGAGAATGCATCCATGAAGGAGAGGAGCTCGTTGCCCACGGTTGCCTCGACTAGCTGGTCGATACGAGGGCGAGGGAAGCTGTCCTTGGGACAGGCCTTGTTAAGAGTAGTGAAATCGACACAGACTCGCCATTTCCTGTTTTTCTTCTTGACCACAACCGGGTTAGCCAGTCATTATAGGTACTTCACCTCGGCAATCGATCCTGCCTTAAGAAATTTATCCACCTCATCGTGTACGGCTTGCGCTCGCTCTGGTCCTAGCTTTCTTCTCTTTTGCTTGATCGGCTTAAATGTGGGATCAATGTGCAGTTCGTGATCGGTGATCTGAGGGCTGATGCCTTTCATATCGGCCATCGACCATGCGAATGTTCCGACATTCTTTCGAAGAAATGCGATCAGCTCGTCTTGCATGCTCGGCAGAAGCAAAGTGCCGATCCCAACACAACGCTCGGGATAAGCAATGTCGATGTTGTCTTGAGTAATGAGATCGCTCTTCGGCTTCTCATGGTGGACTATTCATGGGTCAAAGTCGTTACTGTTGCTGATGACGAATGTGGATGCTTTACGGGCGTGCTGTTTGTCGACGTAACAACACCGAGATATTGTCTGATCACCACAGATGGTGAAGATACGGCCTATGATCGGCATCTTGATGCATTGGTGATAGGGAGAAGGGACGGCTCGCATGGCCTTCAACCAAGGTATTCCTAGAATGGCATTGTAGATTGCAGGTCGGTCAATAACTTCGAATATGACTGTAACAGACTTTCCTCCTATGGTAACGGGCATCGCTATAGTCCTGATCGTCGAGATCGAATCTCCAGCAAATCTAGTGAGGGGCGATAGTGTGATTTTGATATCTCTTTTGGTGATGCTCATCTTATATAGCGTGTCCATGAAGATGAGACGAGCTCCCTGAATAAAAGAAAAGTTTTTGGACCTATTGTCACAACACCAGAGCATGTAATGCCTGTTGGATACAAATGGGTGTTTGTAAGAAAGAGAAATGATAAAAATAAGGTCACAAGGTATAAAGCGAGGCCTGTGGCTCAAGATTTTTCTCAATGACTGGGAATTGATTGTGAAGAAACATATTCCCCGGTAATGGATGCAATAACTTTCAGATTCTTAATGAGTCTAGCAGCATCCATGAATCTAGATATGTATCTGATGGATGTTGTGACAGCATATCTATATGGATCACTTGAGAATGATATATATATATATATATATATATGAAAATCCCTGAAGGATTGAAAATGCCGGAAGCATTAAGATCAACATCTAAAGATATATGTGCAATCAAATTACAGCGATCACTTTATGGATTAAAGCAATCTGGACGCATGTGATATAATCGCTTAAGTGAGTATTTGTTGAGTAAAGGTTACGTCAACAATGCGATATGCCCTTGCGTATTTATTAAGAAATCCACATCAGGATTTGTGATCATTGCTGTTTATGTTGATGACCTGAATATAATCAGAACACAAAAAAGAGATTGATGATGCAAGAACTCATATGAAAGAAGAGTTCGAAATGAAAGATCTTGGAAAGACAAAGTTTTGTCTTGGGCTCCAGATAGAGCATTTCCGAGATGGTATATTTATGCATCAATCAAATTATACGAAAAGGAACTTGAAACGCTTTAGTATGGATAAAGTGACTCCTTTGAGTACTCGATGGTCAATAGATCGCTTGATGTTGATAAAGATCCATTTCGGCCCTGTGATGATAGCGACAAAATATTAGGTCCTGAAGTACCTTATATGAGCGCTATCGGTGGGCTTATGTATCTTGCGAATTGTACTATATCTGATGTAGCTTTTGATACTAGTTTACTTGCAAGATACAGCTCATCTCCTACACGCCGACATTGGAACGGAATAAAACATATATTCCGTTATTTATAAGGTACCATTGAATTTGGTTTATTTTATTCTCGAAACCCCGAGTTTGGTATGGTTAGTTTTGCAGATGCAGGATATTTATCAGATCCGCATAAGGCTAGATCGCAAACCGGATATGTTTTTACAATTGGTGGAACTGCGATATCTTGGCGTTCCCAAAAGTAAAAACTTTGGTTGCAACGTCTTCGAATTATGTAGAAACTATTGCATTACATGAAGCTTGTAGGAAATGCGTATGACTCAGATCTATAATTCATCATATACAAGATGCAAGGGGAATAGAGACAAAGAATGAGCCAACAAAAATATTTGAAGATAATGCTGCATGTGTCGCTCAACTTAAGTAAAGTTATATCAAAAGTGATCGAACGAAACATATCCCTCCAAGATTTTTTTCTTACACAAAGGAGCTCGATAAAAATCAAGAAGTGGATATTAAGTATGTTCGTTCATACGATAACGCAGCTGATCTATTTACGAAGGCACTTCCCATGACAACATTCAGAAAATATGTTCATAGCATCAGAATGCGTCATCTCCGAGATCCATAAAGGAAAGATTATATCCATCATTTCTAGGGGGAGCGTTACTGCACTCTTTTTTTCCTCATCATAACTTTTATCCAAAACAAATTTTTTCATATAAGATTTTTAACGATACAATACATAATACATAAGTAATTAAGGAAAAATATTAAGAAATAGATAATAATTATTCATTAAGTTTTTGTCCTTATTGTTTAAGTTCACCGACTTAATAAACTCTATAAATAGAGTTGTTATGCCTTTGTAAATAAACACACGAGAGTAATAAGACATTCTCTCTTTACTCATCTCTCGCTTACAACTCGCTCTCTTCCTTCTCTCCAAACACAAATCTCACATATATATATATATATATATATATATATCAAACACATATATCATACTATATAATAATAAATTATTTATAACAAGATGTAGTTTGTTTTCAAAACCAGTTTATAATTTTCAAAAAAACTGCAATTGGTTTTCTAAATAATGTTGGATGCAAAATTTATGAAATACCTAAAAGAAAAATATTTTGAATAAAAAATTTAAAGTGAAAAGACAAAACGCCAAAATAAAGCAACAAATAAAATCAAGATTAAAAAAACAAAACAAAACAAAACGATTAGTTTTCTACATAAATTTTTTTTTGTTTTTTTCATCTGAAAGATTATCATTAAAACTTTGAGGAATACATTTGTAAAATACAGAGTCTTATACAAAGAACTAAACTGAAGGAAATACAAAGTAGAAACCCTAATCTCAAACCCAACCAAGATTCAACAAAGTTTAACCCAGCAATTAGAACGGAAGAAAATTCAACCAACCAACTTCCAAAAATTATCGCAGATGTCCCCGATCAAACAACGATAAACAACATCCTCCTAAAAGCTTACCTTTTGATTCTCAAAATCAAAGCTTCATACCCGGCATAACAGAACACAAGGCCTCCCGAGAACGGTGAAGTCGATGTCTCCAAGAGCACGACTAAAACACACCTAGACAGAAGCTTCTAAAGAGATCTCGACAAGATCAGTAAAGTAGCGCCTTGGAGCGACAAATCCAATCCGAGTAGCACCAGACTCCAAGAAAGAAGAAGGGTGAAGATCGAACCGAAAAAGACCGAAACCTGCCTCCATTGAAGCAGAAAGAAGAAACGCCAGCAAATAAACAAAGCCAGTTTTCTACATAAGAAAACCTTTACCACTTTCATCATTGAGAAATTTCTAGGTTTCAGATCCATACACGTGTGATTCCTAACCTAAAATAATCAATCAAAATATTGGTACAAGTTGGATTTACACTATACTTAAAGATCACAGTACATATTGATGTTTATTTATTTACGAAATCACACGTGTATGGATCTGAATTGCGTATTGCTCTTTAATTTGCTTAACGTTTGGCCTTATGGAAGGGACAATTGTACAATTGTCTTCCACGACCATTATGTATCAACAACAACCGACATTTTACTAAATAAATCCACAGAAACCGAGATTTTACTAAAAAATAATCCACAACAATCAACATTTTCCAGTTGGTATCTTAAGTTATGGTAATATTAGTTCATTTAATCAAATTATTCGGTGAGCAAAGTTGACTTTTTTTGCACTCCAACCTTAACTTATCACAGGATATATTGAATATTTATTACGAAATCATACGTGCATATGGATCTGAATCGCGGGATCTCAACTAAGGTAGCTTTTATATAATTAGGATGAGTAGAGATTGCTATCTGCTATACTTTTGTTTTCAATGGCACTAAACGTGATTTAGATCGTCCGAGTCAACCCGGCTACAAACTCGTCCGACGATTCAGTCAATTCCTTGATTCTCCCTTTAACCTTATTCGACTTACGCTGGATAAAATTCCATTCTAATAAACGAGTCATCTTCTACAGACTCACCGATTCATCACCCGAGTCATTCCATATTCTCATCCTCCCAAAGCTGGAGCTCTCTCTCTCCCTTGTCCTAAGCCACTACCTTCCTCTCGCCGGACGCCTCACGTGGGATCCACAAGATTCAAAGCCGTCCATCATCGTCTCCAAAGATGACACGGTTTCGCTTACCGTGGCAGTGACAAATGCAGACTTCTCCTTTTTAGCCGGCAATGGATTACGTCCGGCAACCGAGTTTCGTTCCTTGGTACCTGAGTTAACAGTGTGTGATGACTCGGCGACTGTGCTTTCTCTGCAAATCACGTTGTTCCCGAACCAAGTATTCTGCATCGGCATCGCATCACACCACTCTGTCCTTGACGGTAAAACGTCGACAATGTTCCTTAAATCATGGGCTCATATTTGTAGATTACAAGAACATAACAAAGCCATTGATTTCCCTCTTTTACCGGAGGATCTAACCCCAAGTTTCGATCGTACGGTTGTCAATGTTCCACTTGGGCTTGAGGCAAAGATGATGGAACTGTTGTTGTATCTCTCAAAGGACATTGACAACTTTAGGACCTTGAAGCCACCTCCTATTAGTGAGATCAGTGCAGATGTTGTCCGTGTCACGCTTGAGTTAACTTCGGAGAATGTAGAGAAACTTCGCGAGCGAGTCAAGAACAACTCAGTTCGCTCTCTGCTTGACCTTCACTTGTCAACGTTTGTCATCGCGTATGCTTATGCGTTGACGTGCGTGGTGAAAGCTCGTGGAGGCGACGCAAACAGACCGGTACATTTTATATACACTGCTGACTTAAGTCATCGGTTAGACCCGCAGATTCCAACCACATACTTTGGGAACTGCGTGTTTCCCGTAGGTTGGTTCCAGTACGAAGCCAGAACATTTTTGGAAGAAGATGGTTTTGTCAACGTAGTTGAGATCCTAAGCGATTCGGTCAGAAGTTTGGGTTCACAAGGGATAGTCACTCTCCGAGACCTATTTTGAGGGATACAAAAAAATGAAGCCAGGTGCACAGATCGGAGCAGTTGCGGGATCGACCCGATTAGGGGTTTATGGGTCGGATTTTGGGTGGGGCAGACCTGCTAAGACAGAGGTTGTGTCCATTGACAACAACGAAGCATTCTCTATGTCGGAGAGGAGGGATGAGCCAGGTGGTGTGGAAATGGGAGTATGCTTGAAAAAGAGTGAGATGAACATTTTTCTTTCTTTATTTAAAAACGGCCTAAGCGATTAGGCTTTATAAAATGGTTCCACTGTTTTACTCGCTGTTTTTCTTTTTTTGTACGTCGTCTACTCTCTGGTAGCCATTAATGATTGATGTTTTAGTAAATGTTTTTGTTGTTTCTTTTATTAGTTCTCTATATTACTCTTTTTTGTTTTAATTAGTTTTTCATTTTCTTTTGGATCTGGAATAGTTTTTTTTTTATCAATTCTTTGTTACCTTAATCTTTATATGTTGAATCTCATTGTGATAATTTTTTGATTATTTTTCATTGTAACCACCTGACCCATGATATTTAATAAAAATTATAATCAGCGTTAAAAAAAAGAAGTAAGTTACCTTCACGTACAATATTTTTCCATATTTCATGATACGGCAACTTATAGTTTCTCAGCCACACGGATAGTTTTTATTCTATTTCAGTAAACAGATAGTTTGGACATCTGTACAACGCTACACATATTCAAAGTTTTCGTTTAAACATCATGAGACGTGTGGGAGGCATACAAAATAATACAGATAGTGCCATATGTCCGACTAACTATATTGTAAGAGAACACGTTTCTTTTTTTGATGAGAAGACACTTGAAATTATCATCAATTCGATACAAATTTGAAAGATTGCTTCCTTCATCGTTAATGGCGGTAAACGTGATAAAGATTCTCCGAGTCAGCTACTCCACGGACTCGTCACTTGAATCTCTCAACTCGCTCAATCTCACACTCACTTTCTTTGACTTACCATGGATAAACTTGCCCCCGATTCAACGAGTCATCTTCTATAGACTCCTCCAGTTATCAACCGAGTCCTTCCACTCTCTGATAATCCCGAAACTTGAGCGTTCTCTCTCCCTCGTCCTCCACCGCTACTCTCCTCTCGCTGCCCGCCTTACGTGGGACCCAAAACATCCAAAGCCTTGCATCCTCGTCCGCCATGACGACTCAGTCTCGCTTACTGTGGCAGAGACCAACGAAGATTTCTCTCGTGTTTCCGGAGATGGACTACGTCCTGCCGCCGAGCTACGTTCCTTTGTTCCCTGCTTGGAAGCCACGGATGATTCAGCGTCCGTACTTTCCTTGCAGGTTACGTTGTTTCGGAACCAAGGGTTCTGCATCGGGGTCACATCACACCATGCTGTTGTCGACGGGAAAGCAACCGCCTTGTTTATAAAATCATGGGCTTACATATGTCGATTACAAGAAGAAGAAGCTATGCGTTTTCCTTATCTACCGGACGGTCTAACTCCTCGGTTTGATCGTACGGTCATCAATGTTCCCACCAGGCTGGAGGCAAAGATCTTGGAAGTGTCGTTGAGGAAAGGGAAGACCCTGAAGATCCTAGAGCCAAGTGAGATCGATGCTGATGACACCGTCCGTGTCACGCTTGAGCTAACTCAAGAGAACATACAAAAACTCAAGGAGCGAGTCAAGAACGAGTCAGCTCGTCCGCTCGAGCTGCAATTGTCAACGTTCGTCATCGCCTTTGCTTACATATGGACTTGCGTGGTGAAGGCGTGTGGAGGCGATGCAAACAGACCGGTCGGTTTGCTGGTCGCAGCAGACTTCAGGCACCGGTTAGACCCGCAAGTTCCGGAAACTTACTTTGGGAACTGCTTGTTTCCAATGGGTTCGTTCGGATATGAAGCGAAGGAATTCACCGAAGAAGATGGTTTTGTCAAGGCTGTCGAGACCTTAAGCCATTCAGTAAAAAGTTTGGGTTCGCAAGAGATAGAGTCACACTGCATGAACTATGTGGAGGGATTGAAGAAATTCAAACCGGGTGCACAAATTGGAGCAGTCGCAGGGTCACCCCGGCTAGGGATATATGGAGTAGATTTCGGGTGGGGCAGACCGGCTAAGACTGAGGTTGTGGCCATTGACCGAACCAGGGGATTATTCTCTTTTTCGGAAAGGAGGGATGGTCAAAATGGTGTGGAGATGGGATTGTGCTTGAAGAAAGTGAGATGAACATCTTTCTTTCTTTATTTAAAAATGGCCTCTGCTAATATACAACATAAGAGTATCCTCATGGTTAAATGTTAACAGTTATATATTATATTTAAATATGTTACAAATAAATAATTAATTTTTGATATTAAAAATAAAATTAAATCATTCTTCACATGATAAGTGGATACTGGACATATATTACATGAAGCCGGTTTTGTGGTTTGTATTCCATTTCAACATTCAGTTGCTGGGAAATTTATTTTAGAGATAAAATCTTAAGATTAATAAATGTAAAAAGTGTTGTACCTTTAGGACTGTAAAATTTCAACGGAGATCTGGAGTCCTAGATTTAGGGATGGTGGTCGAAAAGTATAAATTATGGTGGTGATAGAGATTGCGCACCATTCGAATAATAGAGTTGGGATTTCATAGGAATTTTGTAATTTTTTTCAAAGAAATTATCGAAAGCAACAATTTATTCCATCACCTACTGTTGAACCAGAAAATCACTACTAGAGTTTGATTAACAGTTGTAGATTTCAGAAAATAAGATCTTTTATTAATAGTAAGAAAGCATAGCAATTACAAAGAAAGGTATAACCGAGAGGTTATGCCGAAATGAAAAGAAGGTTTGCGAAGTAAACTAGAAAGCGTTGGAGTCTCTGTTTTTAGCTCTGCTGCTCTCTAGATTGTATGAGTTGTCCTTCTAGGCTTCGAGGTCGCTGTATTTATAGGGATAGGAGGTCGGTTGCTTCGAACTCCTTTTCCTTTTGTCCTTCGTGAATATTTCCGTATCTACGATATGGAAATATCTTTTATTCTCTGAAGAATATAGAAATTCTCCTTTATTCTTTGGTAAATCCGATGTTCCCGGTCTTCCATAATTGTCTTTTAAGAGTTTTCCTTTATTCCGAGCTAGGTCGGTGCGGTCTTCCTGGTCTTGATGGGCTTAGGTTATTGCGGGGAATGCCTTTTTAGGAAATGTGTTTATTTCCCCTCTAACAGTAAGTCCCCCCCCCCCAGTTCGGCGAGACTGATTGTAAATCAGGTCGACGGACTTCATGAAGTTATAGATGGGTTTGACCTCGCAATAACTGCCAGTTTGTCAAGGGCATTGTTTTTGCAATAGCCAGTTCGGCTTGATTTTTAGCGGATTTGTCACGCGGCGCTTTTATTTATTAAATACTCCGACCCATTAGGGTTTCTGCTTTTCAGCGGGAAATGCGAAGGGTTCGCCAGACGGCAAGATTGTAAAAATCTTGACACACTTTCTTAGAAAACTGTTGATATTTCTTTCCGATTTTATTTACTTTACTTTTACCTCTTCGTCTTTTTGCTTTAGAAAAACCTTCATCTTCTTTATTTTCTTCGAAGGAAATCCCTTGGCAATTCCTGCCCTGATTATTCTAAGATTTATTTCCTGATATCGATATGGGTTTAAAGAGAAGAAGCAAAATTCCCTTGTTGGATGTGGATATCCCTGATTTTTCTCCGCGTAAGCAGCCCAGATTGGAAGGTTCATCGCAAGATCCTGTGAAGGAGGGGTCACCTTCAGGAATCCCGGCAGAGGATTTGGGTACAGAGTTGCCGATTGAAGAAGAAAGATTTTTTGCGCCGGCCAAAGAGCATGCTTTTAGCCCGTCGGAAAAAGGCGTTTCGTCGGAAGGATCGGTGGCAACTGGTGATGAAACCAGCTTCAATCCTCATGAATTCCTACTTCTTTGGGGCGGGAATTCTCCGGCAATGTTCGATGAATACTTCGCAGCGAATTTGGCTTGGTTGTGTAGGGCGAAGCCTAACCAAGGAATGTCCGTGGAGAAATTAAAAAGATTTGCCTGTTTTTCCGGGATGGCGCAACGTTTTATGCAGGGTTTAGGTTTATGTGCGTCTTTGGTTGAATCGTATGATAAAGAGTCCGTTCGGGGGGGGGGGGGGGGGGGGGGGGGGGGGGGGGGGGGGGGGGGGGGGGGTCTGAGGAGTTATCGGAAAAAGATCGAGAGCTTCGTGACGCTTTGGCGAAGATTAAAGATCTTGAGCACGAGAAACTCAAGTTAAAGCTCGATTATAAGGCGCTTGATATTGAATCTGCCAAGAAGATAAGACTTCTCGAGGAGAGTCTCAAGAAGAAGGCGGCTGAGGAAGTTAAGAGCGCGGCTGCTAAGGAGAAAGAGTTCCGAGAGAACCAGCGTGTCTCGGTTGATCGCGTGGTGGATTTAATGTATCGGCGTCTTCGCGAATGGTACGATCCTCGCATCGAGCATATCAAGGAATTTATGGCGCAAGAGCCTGATATTCATCGGCTGGAACTTCGGATTGTCGATGCCGAGGCGAGGGCAAATTGCTATAAGCAGCTTAGGTCGGCAGGGCACGAGATTCCAGTTGAAGAGTTTTTGACTCATTCTGCTGCGGCCGATCATTTGAAGATGGAGCGTCACAACATAAAGGATGCTCCAATTTCTTCAGATGATTTCACTGCGCCTTCTCGTGTTCAAATGCGGCCTTCGGATGCGGAATTAGCGGCAGCAGGGATTCGGCTGCCGAAGCGACGTAGGGCTTTATAATTGGTTTTGTTTGTTGTTTTTTTTGTAAGACTAAGATGTTTCTTTTTTATTAATGAAAAAAAGTTTACCTATTTTGTTTCGTACTCCCCCCCCCCCCCCCCCCCTTTTTTTTTTTTTTAATGATTCAGACCTTAATTCTAAGGTTTTCGCGAAGTCAAAAATTTTTTTTGCCTTGCGGTGCGTGGGCATTCTTTAGGCTGGTGCTGGACGCAAAATTCATTAGCTCGTCTTACACCAAACGACATTCAGGATCGAATAACAAATTTTTCGAAGTGTACTTTGGTTTGAAAGGTATGATCAAGAGTCGTGCGAGTATTGTCCTTGGCTTTCATATTATCTACTTTGGAAGTAATTAAAGCGAACCGAAGCGTCAAAGGAGTGGTGATCAGCCACTAATTTAATTTTGCTTGCTTTCGTTGAATCGATTGTTTGGCCAGAACATCGATTCAGCAAGATGCATTCGCATATAGCTCTTTTTGCCGAGCTGAAAAAGGTTTATGA